TCTGAAGAAAATAGCCCAGAGATAGATCCTCTTGCCCTGTTAACCCCTCTCATACCAGTGCCCTGGGCATCTCCCCTACTAGGAGTAGCTGGGTACATGTATGCATACATGCTCAGTAGTGAGTGTAGCACACAGTTGGAGCCACGTGGCTTCTTTGTCAAGGCCCTAACAAAACAAGATGCTAAGACACTAGTTTCTTACTATAACCCCCACAAAATCTGAACTACACCAGGCCTTTGCTTTTTGCAGGCCCTGACGGAAATTCCATGGTTTAGATCAGGCACATCCTCAACACCCCACAGGGAGAACTGACCTCAATGTCCCTTTTCCTCTCTGAACAATGAGGCAAAGTTCAGGCTCAAGTGTGGCTTCACCTCTAGCCCCAAACGAGGTATCGCGCATCACATTAAACAAAAGACACCCAGAAAACAGCACCGGCACAAGTACTTTATTTGGCAGTTTCAACCCAACATGTAGGGAAGAGAACCCTGCCCTCCCTCACCAGCCTCCCCAGAAACCCCACCTTTCCAAGACAATCAGAGCAGCACCTTGCTGTATGAAAGGCAGCAGCCATGGCCCTGGCACAGTTTCTGGCTCCACTTCCATGGAAGAGCAGAGAAGCGTTGCCCAAACCCGACCACTGGCTTGGAGCCCAGGTAAACAGTAGCAGTCACGCCTGACCCTTTGCACGGCCATGGACCCAACACAAATCCTGGTCCCAAGCTTTCCCAAGGTGACCCTGTCTCAGCCACCACTGGGCAACACTCCTGGGCCCCTCTAGCCCCACTCTGGGGAGATGTGTAATGATGAGTAGAATCCTCATGTCTCCGGCAGACGCAGGAGGGTTCCAGAAGTGGTGGAGACACTGTACAAGAGAAAGACACAGCTAGAGCCAGACACATAGGCCCAAGGTCTAGGGAGAACTCAGAACTTGGCCAGGGATGTTCCAGGGGGTTCCAGAGGAGAGAGGAGCTGGGCTTCCTTAGTGAATGAAGCAAGAGTGGGGAGGAAACCCAACCTTGGGTCATTGTTCTGTCAACTGCCAGAGACGGGGGCAAGACTCACCAGTCCACCAGCTGGGCCCCAATGAGGTCATGCACATGGTAGGCAAGGCCGAGTCGTACCGCGGCAGGTGCCCGCCGACCCAAGAGCTCTGAAAGGAGTAGTTCCCGGTACTTGGCCTTCCGAACCATGCTGAGGACAGCCTGGCGCCCTGGAGGAGACATGGCACAGGAGTGGGGAAAGGTAAGGCCTGCAGGCCAGAGGAGCCACCAAAAGGTGTTCTTGAGGGGCTGGGAGCTTGAGCTGCAGGCAGGATACCTTTAACAAAATACTTAATGAATCTCCCAGCTCCAGGCACAGCTAGCCACCAACTCCCAGCATCTCGGACAGTAAGGACTCCAGCATTCACCAGCTGCCTAAGCGGAGTGGGAAGGCAAGAGAGATGAGGCCTTGGCTCTGAGAATCTTCTCTCCTCACTGTCCACTAATGTTTGGATACTGTCTCCAGAAACACAGGCAACCATATAAAGGGGCTGGTAACAGACGTCCCACCCCCACCCTGGGGTGGTTCTGCTCACGATCCATGCCCTTGCTGGTCCCATATGCGTACCCGACTGACCCCACCCCCAATGCCTTCTTTTCTTGCTATTACTTGTTTGCTAAAACCACTCTCAGAAGCCCTCTCTTACCACATTCCCTGATACACACTTAGTCCCACCCCCTGGGGAGAAGTAAGGGTCTTTCTTCTGTGTTCCTGCCATTGCCTCCACAGACCTCATCATGGTTCCTCCCATATCTTAGTGAAAAGAATTTATAAAATGCTTTCACATAAACCACAGGTTACGACATAGGGAACCTGAGCCAAATACAGCCCCTGAATTGGTATTTTTATTTAGCCCTTGCCTGCTGGTTGTTTTCTTAATGTGAGTGCTTTAGAGGCATCATAGCTCCTACCATTCTCTATTCTCTTATCTTAGCATGATTCACATCAGACATTTATGATTCTTGCCAGGCCTCTACATGTAATTTGATTAGCCACCCAGATCTCCTGAATTTTTGTCCAGGGCTCTTTCTATGGCCCCAGGTAAGACAGGCCTCCTCTTTTGGGGGAGGAATACAAATTCACGTCATTTTACTAAAAAGAAGAGTCAGCCTTTTGGGCAGGTTCAGCAAAAGGAAAAGGATAAGGCTAGATAGGAGAGAGGCAGAGAGGTGCCAGATGATTGATTTGGTTGATCCCCCAAGTCTCACGTGATCTCTGTGTCCCTGAAGCCAAAGGTCTGTGTCATTTGGTCCTGCTGGAAGCTAAGGTCCCCACAGGCTGGAAGCACCGAAGCCAGAAACTTCTGCACTGCCCCAGCATATGATCGGCCATCGCAGGCCTTGAGGACCTGGAACCAGATGAGAGACATGTTCTGGCTCCTTCCTTGCCCTCCAGGGACTTCTCTCCCAGGATATTTCTCTGCACATGGGAGGCAGATTCCCTTCTGCTCAGGCCCTTCCACCTCTCATATTTTTCTTCCTTCTACTCCTCCTTCTCCTCTCCCTCATATTACTACTTACCAGAGCCCTGTGTCCTCTCTGTAAAAGGCGTGGGGGGTGGGGGTGGGAATTGTCTCTTTTCTTTTCATTTCCTTTCCCCAGTTTCCCTGCCTGCCCACCCCCACTCCTTATGACACACACACAATCGCACGCACTCTGTTCTTGTAGTCTTCGGTGAAGATAATTCCATGAGCATCCAAATCGAACCCTAGCTGGATGATTCTGATCTCCCCCTGCTCTTGAAGTGCCTTCTGTGTCCAAATAGATGGAAGTGAAAAGAAGGGTGTCAAGGTAAGATGCTCCACTCCCCTCTGGGCATTTCGGGGCAGGGAGATTTTTATATGCCCATATTGGAGATTTTTTCTCTAAATAAAGGAAAAACTGTAGAAGGAAAATCAGGTGGATCACCAAATAGTCTTTTCCAAATAGTTACCCCGGCTCCCACCCACCCACCTCATCTGTTGTCAGTTAACCAATCAATACACATTTTCTAAGACCAATCATATGCCAGACACTAGATAAAATACAAAACACAGGCTATGCCCTTAAGGAATTAACAGTCTGGATTTGGGATAGAGGAAGGTAAAGAGGAATATAGAATAAAATGTTTAAAACAAATACAAATCAACCAGGACCACTGTTTCTAGGAATACAACAAGAATCAACCTACCCACTAAAAATTAATTAAAATGCTAAGTAAAATATTATTTTAAAAGTTTTAAGCACTAAAGAGCTCACAACATAATAAGGAATTACCAGACTAATATAAACTCTAAGTGAACACAAGAATTCATAGAAGTAATTGGGACATGGAGAGCATTTGATGATCTCAACAAATATGTCCAGCACGGTCAAAAATAATTGGACACACAAGAAAAATTCAAAAGAAACTGACAATAAAAACAGACACAAAAAGACATGTTATCATGGAATTATCAAAAACCAACTGCTTTTTAAAAATGATGTTTATGATGCTGAAATAAATAAAAGCCAAGATAAAAAACTTCAGCAGAAAATTATAAAAACTGACATAACAGATCTGAAAAAGATCTAAGTAGAAATTCTAGAACTAAAAAACAAGGCAAGTGCAATTAAAAACTCAATGGAAACCAATGTTACCCCAACAAAAGAGAGAGGAAGGAAGGAAGGAAGGGAGGAAGGAAGGAAGGAAAGAAGGAAAAGAAATTTATGGGGTCTGGTTCAGGCAAGACAGTATCTCGATCAGTGTTGT